TGATTCATTCTTGACGTGCATCGCACAATTCTGAATTGAAAACGTCGAGGCAGTGGAAGACCTTGGTCTAGAATGAAGGATGGTGGTGCGGAATGGTTTTCGACCGTCGTCGTTGTTCTTGCAGCAGGGGTGAGAGTTTGCGGGTATTAGCTGCAGGTTGTATTCCTTGTGCCCTGTTACTCTTTGCACTCCTTATGCTTGAATAAAACCTTAATCTCCACACGTTTTGTTGTTTTAAAATGAAATTTTAATCCAACTATGGCGGACACCAGTCATTAAATCCTGTACAAGAATACTTTGAGCTGATATATGCTTTTTGCAGATCAATCAATTCATGTTTCACCTCCACAGCTTGCTTCAGATATCCTCAAGAAAGCCAAGTACTTTGAGTGCATATTGCCACATAAGTTCTCCACGGTACCCTTCAAATCTAAATAGTTCACAGCAAATCTTTCTAATTCCCTTTTCGGTTTGAGACTGGTAGAGAGAGTCGACCTTGCATTAGGGAATGGTGCTCTCAATGGAAGGGAAGTCATCTTCTTTCTCGCTACTTTCCATCGTTCTCGCTGTTGAGTTCATAGAAGCAGTGTGTAGTTGTTGAAAGCTCGGCGAGGAAGTGAAATAGAACGCAAACAAAATGCAAAACGGGCGAGATTTTGTTTATTTGATTGTGAACATATGGGCTTGTAATTGTAGGATTTTTTGCAATGGACTTTGAAATGTGTTATGGGCTTCTTATGTGAATAATGAACTTGAGAAAAATTTTCAACAATCCTTTTCATCATTTGTGAACTCTTTCAAACTTGCAACGCATAAAAAAACCTTGAATCAACCCTACATGGTTGATCCATTTCCTAAACACCGAAGCCATGATTCCAACTTGAATTAATCTTGCACTTACGAAAACCTGACTTTCCTTGGATTACCCCAAAAGCACGAGAACCACTTAATCGAGACTTGAACATGCATAAGACCCCAACTAAACATGATATGGTCTTTGATGATTTCCAATCACTTCATTCTTACCTTTGCGTCTGAAACAACTCAAGATATTGACAACTTACAGGTGGATCAACCTTGACTTGTTTGGGCACAAATTAAATCCGAAATCCTCCTTACTGCACACGCATCTAAGATGGACCTCCAATAAGCATTTTGATTACATTTACTTCCTCTTGTAATCCTCTCAGTCCATACAAATAAAGCAGAAGCGACACCTATTTCTGGAATGATGATTAGTGGACAGATGTACAAAATGAAGGTTAATACAGGTAGGACAAATTTGGGGTATGACAGGTGCTAATACCTTCCCCTTGCGTAACCGACTCCCGAACCCAGACAATGGTTGCGATGGCCTTGTCTTACCCTTATTCGTCAGGTTTTTCCGATCGTTTCCTTTCCCGCTCTGAGGGATGAATAACGAAAGGTGGCGACTCTTCTGTTTTGCCGGCACCTTATTTTCGCGCAAGCGACATTGTGTAGCAACGTGAGGGAGATTACCATGCACGTGTTCTGTGATTGTTCTAAGGCTAAATGAATTTGGTTGAATATTGTACTGGCTAATATTCAGTTGGATTTTTTTTAGCATGAAGCTTAATGATTGGATTGATTTAAATATCAATGAGAATAACATGTGGAGTAGTTTTTTGGGCGAGTGATTATCATAGTCTTTGGCGATGGCGTAACAAGAAGATACAAGGTGAGTGTTTCCAAAGGACACTGTCCCCTCAAAGTTTAGTTTATTCAATTCTTAAGGATTATAATGATGTTGAAGGTGAAAAAAATACACAATAAGGGGGCGTTGAGTTGTGTATGCCAAAATTCTATTTCACTTCTAATTATGTAACTTCAAAATATAAACCATGTTCAGAGTCCGATATCAGATTAAGTAACAACATCAGAAATAAAGTGTTCAAAAGTAAATGTAGACAACACACAAATATTATCCTTGTTCCTCTCCTCAATTGATAGTAGTTAATTCTCCTTGTCTGAACAATAACTTTTCACTATAACCAAATAGATTACAATTTGCTCAAGCACACTTGTAAAAGACTTCAATGCTCAATCAACCTAGAAAGAGACTTCTGCTCAACCAACCTTGCAAGAGACTTATTCACAATCAACCTAGAAAGAGACTTCACTTGCTCGAGTACACAGACAAGAGACTTCAATGTTCAAGCATACAGGCAAAATTCTTCATCTACTTTAAGCAAATAGTTTAGTAAAAAAAAGGCAACTATTATACTTTGTTACATAATCAGAAGTATAACATTTATGCAACAATCATAAAGGTTTTCAACCTTTCTAGGATTTTTAAGATAAACTATGATAACAAATCTTAAGATCTTATGCAATAATAGTTACAACAATAATGGCTCAGAGTTATGCCAAAAATCTTATAATGTGTTGTGATGTTGTAACTTTCCTTCAAGTTTTCAGCTTCCTTTTATAGAGGCGCAGAATGATTCGTTGGAGGTTTGAATAACATCAAACTTAGTGAAGAAGTATGTCAAGAGAGACGTTGGAGATTAGCATCTGGTTAGAAATATTGTCCACTGAATAATGACATTATTCACAACATCTTTCGAAGTACTAGGTATCTAACAAAAGGTAGAAGAGTCTGAAGAGGTCACATCATCATCTTTTGAGCCTTGCAAAATCAAATCCTAGTTGAGTATCTCCAAAAATCAATTGCTTTGACAAGACTATTCAACTTTGGTGTAGAGTACAAATCAGAGGTTGAGCTGTCACTAGAGGCTGGAACAACATACCAGAGTCAGAACTTTCAGATGCTGATGAACATATTCAGATTCTGATCATCCAGAATCTGATGTAACATTGCTTCTTCACTTATTCTTTCAACAAGATTAATTAATGATGAATTCTCAACTTATGATCCTATAGACTTGAACATATGTTAATATATCATTTGTTCTCTAAATACTTTGTTATCATCAAAACTCAAGGAGTATAAACAATCTTGTTCCAACAATCTTCCCATTTTCTATGATCACAAACAAATGTATTTAAGAACAATGGTTGATCAGTTTTAACTAACTTGACAACATCAGAGTCTGAGGTTTGTAAGCTCCCCAAGAGTCTAATAGTCCAAAGGACGAGTTTTATAAGCTCCCCCTAAGTTATATCCAAGTTAATTTAAGATTATTTTGATAATACAAAATGTTCAGAAGAAAGCATTGTCAAAATAACAGAATAGTTAGGGTTCAAGTATTTTAAAAGCATTAAAAAATACGTTTAACATTCTTAAATACTCCCATGAATTTCTCCCCCTTTTGTCATCAATAAAACGTGAGTTCGAACATGTTAGCATAGAAGAATACATAAATATTTAATAATACAAACTAATATATGAGAAAAATTAATACCAATAGAAACATTGTATGAACAGCCTTTACACATCTCAAAGCATAGAAACAACTAAAATGGTTGAACTATTTTTGTGTTTCTCAATATGTCACACATTATTCAAGAATATCAACCATCAGAAGTCATCATTGTGTTGACTCTAAATTCTAACGCCTGAATTGGTTTAGAAGAGAGTAATAGAGTTTCTGAAGAAATCTACATACTTCGATCGGATCCATATTTTTGGAATGTGAGTCATCCATATTTTTGGAATGTGAGTCGAAGACATCCTTCTGCCACGAGAAACTATCTGAAAGATTCGATTCGACGTGATACTCAAGGCATTTTCAACATGGAAATTTGAATTCAAAAAAGAGGGAGAAAAGTTCATTCTTATCCATTCCTCAAAGAAGACACGTGGAACACTTTTAGGAATCGAAGGCATGCAACACCATATTTACATTTCAATGCAATTTAGTAAATCTTTTTCATTAAGAATTTATCATTTCTTTGTGCAAATTATTATCTTCATCATTTACCCGTACTTCAATTTTACTCATTCGCGTTCAATCTCATTTACGTTCGAATTAAATTATTAACAATAAACTTGTTTCTAAAGATAATGGTTTGAGTGACCGATGAGAAATGACTAATGAATTTTTTTAATTACTTTCTTAAAAGTGAATAAATGTGTAATAAAATAATTTAGATATAAATATTAAAATAAATACCATAAGATCGGGACCAAAGTGGGTGCAAGACGAATAATTTAGAGAATTACATGTCACAGATTAACACGGGTTTTGGTCAAAATTCCCATTTTTGCTACTTTCAAGTGTCAGTTAAATTCACACAAGCATTTCAACAACAATTCTAATTCCTTATGAAGGATAGGCTTCCTTAGGATGAGAGAGAAGGGCTTTCCTAGGGATGCATGGTTATTTGAAAAACGGAGAAGACAAGCGCCGGCCACAGTTAAAGGTCCAGACTCAAAACTTAAGTAAAAAAATGGTGACGGGACATGCGGCACATTAGAGGACGTTGGCCTGAATCTTTGGCCTGCAGTAACCCAAACTACACCAAACTGTAGGTAAAACAGAATCATTGTCCACCGTACCACTAGTAGGTGACTCCCTGCAATCAAACTAAAGCCCCAACACTATAAAGCCTATAGCCTACCTTAGTCACTCGGACGTCAGGGCAGTTGATCAAGGGATACCGAAAAGAGGCAAACAACAAAACCTGAGTTTGAAGCTTTTCATGTCAGGCAAGGTCAATCGAGTGTCCCCTACAAAAAATAAGATGTCAAGAATGAAACTAGTGAGGTGACCAGTTCCATTTGGGTGAGACCCATTATGTAACCCCTACTATGACTACCATTTCATGAAAAATTAAGAAACTATCATTAAAATAGATCATTTAGATAAATATTTTTTACATCCATCCATAGTCTGCTCCATCCATAGTCTGCTGAGAAGCAATGCATAATAGAAAATCTAAATGTATTCAAGATAAACACCACAAAACTGCTTTTGATTTTTGCATAAATAATAGGTCTGTCTAGAAACAAATTAAAGATACTAAAATACCAAAGAAAACCAGACAATCTGAAAAACATATAGAAAATAAAATGCCTAGTATCCTCCCTTCAAATCATTGACCACATCATAAGGAATTGGAGTAACTGTTTCCAGAGTGGCTCCTTCAACCTTGAAACCAGGTTTAGGTCCTTCAGGTTTGCGCTTTGTGCTAATAACCTCACCCTTAGCTTTAGCCTCAGCTTTGAGTTTATCATTGTTGATCTTCCTCAAACGAAACTCCTCAGTGCACCTAGAAGGCATAACATGCTCCACACGCACATGAATCCTCTTCCTCAGAATCTTGTTCCTTACCTAAACAACACATCAACATTTCAATATACTAACATCCTAATGCATCACATAAACCATTACATAGTCAAATCATAGTCAATAAACACCTAATCGAGAGTTAGAAATACACAATCAGCTAAACACACCAAAGCATAATCGAGTTAATAATTGGATTTGCACCTGTTTGTTAACCTCAACGCCAATGGCGCGTTTGGTGACGTTCCAGACACGACCGGTACGACCATGGTAGAACTTGTGAGGCATACCCTTGTGGACGGCGCCGTTAACCCTAATATCAACATAATCGCCGATGTGGTAGGTTCTGAGATAGGTGGCTAGAGCGATTGTACCCTTCTTCCTGAATGGGCGAGAGAATGAATCTCTGGTGCGAGATCTCAAACCATGACCAGCAGGCATCTTGTCTAGGGTTTGTTTTGCACCTTCTCTGCCTCTGTCTACGACTACTGAAACGAAATCTGAACTGAAAAAATCTTCTTTTTTATTGCTGAACGGTTTTCAATTGGACTTTTCTATTTTGTTTCTGTTAATGGGCCGGGTTTTCTTCTTCTTTAGGATTCATTACAAAACCTATATATTTTTTCTTTATACTATTTTTTACATTAAAAAAATCTTGTACTAAAAAATTGTTAAAACTCAAAAGATTAGTTGTATGCTTGTTACACTCCTATTAATTGGTAAACTATGCTCTATAAAAAAAAGGTGAGAGATAAAAAAACAATATTAAACTAGTATACAAGTGTAATGTCGGATTTATATGAGTGATAATTAAAATTGATATATTGCATTTGAAATATAAATATGATGAAGAATTAATAATTTAAGATTTATATAAAATATATATATATATATATATATATATATATATATATATATATATATATATATATATATATATATATATATATATATATATATATATATAAATTGTTGATTGAAAGAAAAGTGCAATATACTATTAAAATAATGCAAAAGAAAGTATTTTTATTAATTTAATTTATTCTAGTATATCTAATGATGTAAATGAGGTTGAGATGACGAATTTTGACAATAAAGTAATTTTTAAAAGAAAGGTTGGTCGAAATTTTATGGCTAAAACAAATTTAATTTGACTTTTTCTTTATAAGTAATAGGTGTTGGAATTAACCTCAATTTTGGAGATAATCTGAATTAATCTTGATGAATAAAAATTAATATTTCTGATTGACCGTTCCTCTCGTTCCCTACTCTTCACTTGGGTTATTCAACCACACATTGATTGCGATAAGATTTCGTTGTACAACGATTTGTGAAAGTGAATTGGGAAAAAAAGAGAAATTTGAGTTTTTGAAGAAAGAAGAAGAAGATTGATCAAATTTTGCATAACTTTTCTCTGCGTTTATTCTCACTAAATTTTTCTTGTTTTGTGTACTTACAATGTTATGGTACCTCCTTAATTATATATGAGATTACTTGCACACCAAGTATTCCCTAACTAATTAACAAAACAGATGTTAAGTTTTAACTCTGTCGAGACTAACTCCTTCGACAATTATATATTTCGACTGCCATCAAATACATTGGACTTCGACTCTGTCGAATCTTACAGCATGTTTAACACAAAGAATTACATATTTAACACACCACCTAATTCACAAAGTCTAAGTTATCTGCATTCGTCATAGTTCTCAATTTCTTGAACAACTCGACCTGCACAACCTTCCTTATGATGTCTGTAATCTGATTCTCGCTTCTGCAATATTCCAAATCCAACTTCTCATATGTTACTTGCTTTCGGATATAATGGAACCTTATCTCGATGTGTTTGCTTCTTCCATGTGTTATCGAGTTCTTGGCCAGGTTGATAGCATACACGTCATTGATCTTTGTGGTCATTGATCCATGGTCTTCTCATGAAATCTCCTCGATCAGGTTCAATATCTAAGTTGCTTAACACGTATAGAGAAAAGCAACTATGTACTCAGCCTCACATGATGGCAGAGCTACTACTGGTTCCTTTCTTGAACTCTAAGCATTTGGCGCACCAACTAACACAAACACATACCCTGTTGTGAATTTCCTATCCTTAACATCACCACACCAACTTGAGTCGGTGTATTCCCCTAGTTTGCATTTTTTTCATTCATCTATTGCAGGAAACAAGATGACGTAGTCGAGAGTTCCTCTGAGATACCTTAGTATCCTTTTTGTTGCTGCAATGTGTGATACCTTTGTCTTTTCCATTAATCTACTCATCATATCTACATTGTATGTTAGATCAGGCCTCGTGTGACAAAGGTATCTTAATGATCCAATAAGTATTCTATACTGACACTACAAGAAATTTGACATGTACCAACGACAAAAAATTGTTGGTAAAGGTCAAATAATGTATACCAACAAATTTTTGCTTTCGTCAACTATAATTCTCAATACCAACGACAATTTTTCATCCCAATATCTTATACTAACGACAATTTAAAGGGTTGGAACAAATTTTGGAGCTATAGCAACTGACTAATTACCTTGTTTAATAACTTTATCCCCTATGTATTTTTGTTGGTATGGGAAGAAATTAGTCATTGGTATATGTCTCTCTTTTTTATTTTTCTTACAAATATTTCTTTCTTATAATTAATATTTTAAAAAAATCAAATTTCAGCAATACTTTCTATATGCACCACACAAAATTTAAAGCAACATCAAAGAAAATTTTAATTATATTGTCAAAATAGTAAATCTTACAAACATATCAAAATAACAAAGTAATATCAATTATATAATAACGACTACCATACTAGATGTTACGACAACAAAGAAACAGAAAAACACATCCAAGATAAAAGCATTTTCTAATCTTCCTCCCTTCCATCTTTATAAACTCAACAATAAACATTAGCATGACAATGATAACAAGATCATGAGAAATAGTCCGACTGAATAGGCATAGACTCCTCGTGTTGAGCTACAACTGTTTCCTCTGCTATGATCCAGCCATCATAATTGGACTTAACTTGTTTGACCTCTTGACAACACCTTTGACAAAATCAATACATAAAAGCATAATATGTTAGGATATAAATATCAAAGAATAAGTTAGGGAGTTAGTTAATTATTTAGTTAGGATTATTTTGTATAAATATGGATTTAGTTTTTTGTTAAGTTATGATTATTTTGTATAAATAGGGAGTTAGAATGAGGTATCATTTGAATATTGTGAACATTGTTATTTTATATAAATTCTTAGTGGTTGAATACTAACCTTTGTTTCTTGTTCTTTGAGGTCTTTTGTGTCTGTTTGGCATCTGACTTCTTCTTGTTAAACTTCCCTGTCACCCTCACTAGATGGTTCATCACATTGGATTCTCACTGAATCCTTATTGACATTGTCTTTCCAATCCCACTCTTTCAGATCGTATATGGTTATGTTTATGTTGATAACGACTTGCTTATTCAAGGGAACGGAAGTTTGTATCCAAGATTATTCTGGTGTGATTCTTTCTAACTTCTTAGTAGGAAATTTGTTTAGAATGTATATTGCAGTCGACTCAATCTCACCCCATAACTCATTTGGTAGATGCTTGTTTCTTACCATACTCCTCTCCATATTCATGATGGTTCTATTATTTCTCTTAGCATTGCATTTTATTATGGAGTGTTGGGTGGCACAAACTCATGCACAATCCCTTCTTTCTCATATAATGCATTGAAATCGTTTGCACATATTCTCCACCATAATCAGTTCTCAGAGTTTTGAGTTTTTGACCACTTTGTCTCTCTACCATAGATTTAAACTTTGTGAACACCTCAAGTATATCACCATAAAACCCCGACTCATAAGTTAAAGTATAAACCAACCTTCTAGGATTCTACTAAAACAGAACATGCATACTTTTCTAAACTCGCGACAAAACTCAATTAAATAACATAAACTTTAATGATCTCATCAAACTGAAATACTCAATATAATTAACGTGATCCATTGATTAATTCAAAACAAATAAAATGCATCATTTTTTATTTTCATATTAGAGTATGAAACCAACTAAATAGTGATAAGCGATAAAATAAATGAAGAAAAGCTCTGAGGCCATCTTCCAACTCACATTAGGACTTATTCCTCATGAGTATATGTTCAACAGTGTACATAGCAACATAAAACAAAAAGAAATGAGTGAGAATACACTCAAGTATATTAACTGAGTAAAAAAAATCAAGGGTAGTTTAACTCACGCAATCAACGACACACATTAAATTACACAGCTACACAATAATTCAATTCACACAACCTTTATGTATGCAATGTGACTCGCAACTCGACTATATGCAAATGGTGCCAATTTGGCCATCAGAGGGTTTTTACTGATCTTGTCCACTCAACAATGGTTCTCATTCAATAATGGTTCTCATTCGAATCGGGTCCCCACTTATGAACCACGGGTCCCCACTTATGAACCACGAGTCCCCACTTCTGAACCCTGAACGATCATAGGTCCCCACTTTTGAACCCATAACTCACCTCTTTCAACATACTGACACAATATGATTCATGGCATATAAGTAATGCAACAATAACAACAACACTCATGGCTCCACTCTTCTAACCATAAAGAACATGCAATACAACATTCACAATAGTCCACACTTATGAACTACTCACCTCAACACAATCAATCATAATTACCTTAATAGTACATAATCATATTCACAATATCACAGCTCATAATAATAATTCACCACTCATAATTATGCAATTAATTATAACACTTCATATAATTATACAAGTAATTCTCAACAATCATTCATAGATCGACATTAGCATCAACATCAACATCACTCCTCGTGAGTTATTCATCAATTCAATCGATCACAACAATTAAAAGTCCTTTATCATCATTAACCATCACATAATATTACACCTTAAGAAAAACAATTTATTCACACCATTAAATGCAAATTTAGTCTCTTGGGGTATCACTATGAGATATTGTTATGCGTTAGTTTTACTATGTTTCAAATCGTGCCTCAAACGGAGTCACATAACTCAAGTTATGATAAAAACTGTATTTGAACAAGGTTAGTCTGGTCGTGACTGGTGGACCATCACAAAGCTGACGACCGTCAGCTCGTCAGACAATGTCAGACGGTCCATCAAAAGGGTGTTGGCCGTCACCATTATATAATATATAATTCTGCATTTTCACCATCGGAGGCTTTTCGGACCTCCGATTTTGATTCCGTAAAAAACCAAACACTCAGAATTCAACATAGAATAATTATATAACAATTATACAATAACCAACACAAATTACATAATCCAACATCAAATAATCATCAATCAATCATAAAATTAAGGTTAAGTTCATAAAATCAACAACACATTGATAACAACAACAACATTCATAATGCATCCAATCACA